TGCTTGTTTATTGCCATGTAAAATACAGCTTACGCAAATGGAGATCGCAGGTGAATGTCCAAGCCTGGTAGTCCTTGGGGTTCTTGGGGTTTCCGAGCGGACGAAGTGCATTCAGGTTGATCTGGTACTGGCCAGCAGGGACCTTCACCCGCTGTGTCATCAGCGTATCCTTGAATACTGTGCCGTTGACCACAGCCGAGTACATGAAGGTTTCTGGGGTCTGCAGGTTGCGCGAGACGTACTCAAGGTAGCCGCCTGGAAGATACCCCATCGTCTTCTTCTTTGAATCTTGCAGCGTGATTGAGACAAGGCGTGATGGAAGCTCAAGACGGAAGTTGAAAACCTGCGGGGTCTTTTCAGTGACAGGTGCTGTGGTTACATTGCCGCTTGCATCGGCTAGCAGTGGGAATCCCTCGGATGGGTCAGCAAGACATCAAGCTGGCGATAGTTGCCATTAAACCCAGCATATGGAATAACAAATGAAGAGGCACCATTGGACTTGTCACCCAGGACATGGTGAAGTTCAGGAATCCACCGTAGAACCAGCGCTCAGAGTCCTTCAGGCCATACGGGGCAGTGATTACAACAGCAATATTGCGTGTCTGGCCAGGACCAACCAGGTTGTTACTGTGAAGTTCAGGTGCATATGCCTGGGGCATAGTGCTCCAGCCAGTCTGAGCCGTTGTGCTGCAGGCCAAACACGAGGTTTCGGGTTGAATGTACCATCAGCCGCCCATGGTGTGAGTGAGTCTGCAACAGAGTTGCTGAAGGAGATGCGGGCCGCCTTGTGCGGGTCGGTATTCTTGATCGACACTCTGCGTACAGACCAGCGAGGGAAGTACCCCATCATTGAGCCAAACACAGAGCTGAGCGGCCCACTCATGGTGTTGTTGAGCGCAAGCGCTGACGGCGAAAACTCAACACGCGAATTGATAGCGTCAAAGATGTTGACCAGGCCGCTGCCGCTCCAGTACGGGTGGATGTTCTTGCCAGTGGTCTTGTCGCTGCGAGGCTTGGCAGTAGTAGAAAGGGCCTGGCGTAGTTGGTCGACACTGTATTTCGGATGTGCTTGCTTGAACAGAGCAGCGGTACCCGAGATGTACGGTGTGGCCATCGAGGTTCCAGACATTGATATGTAGCCGCCAAGTTTCAGCGGATATGTCGAATAGATGTTGCCGCCAGGAGCGGAAACAATAGGTGCGATATCCAGCTCCGGTGACGGACCATACGAGCTGAAATCTGACATCTCGCCGCGGTCGTAGCAGGTACTGTGCAACGTTGCTCTTGGGCGCCTTAACAGTAACATTCCCGCTGGCCAAGGCACTGACAGCATACGCGCCGTCTTCTTGAGTAATGATAACAACCGGAATAGTAACGCTGGGGTCCGTAACCGATGGACTCATCATACCAGGTGCGTTGTTGTAGACGATTACTCCAGCTGCCCCAGCAGCCTGGGCATTTGCTGCTTTCTCGTTGAACGTGCAATTGCCACGCTGGATAAGCGCAACCTTGCCCTTCAGGTCCTGGCTGATCGTGGCGCAGCCCAGCTTGCTGTTTGCAGAGTCGACGACGGTGACCAGTGGCACATTGTTTTCAAAGACAAACGGAAAATCCCGTTTGCTGGCGTCGATGCCAGCAACTTCTTGGTGCCAGCACCTGATACCACATCAATGGCATTCCCGTTATGTTCCAATTGTCGACTGATCCAACGCTGATTACGCCATGACCGAGCCCCGGAGATCCAGCAGTGAACAGACCAGCGTCGCCGTCATTGCCATTGGCCACAACGACGATGATACCCTTCTTGACCATGTTTGAGCAGGCAACTGATGTTGGGTCCTCGGGCCAGCCACCGCCGCCCAGCGACAGCGAGATAATGTCGCGCCTTCCTTGTAAGCAGCCTCAATCCGGCAATGATGAATTCGTCCGATGTGGTCGGCTCGGTGCCATTCTTGGGACAGCCAAACACGCGATACATGCCCATGGTGGCATCTTGAGCAACACCAATCACTTGAGGTCCTTGGCCAGCGATGATGCCAGCAACGTGAGTTCCGTGGCCCATGCAATCCATTGGGTGTGGCCCAGGCTTGACAACAGGGACTGGGTCGTTCGGGTTAAGTCATCTCCAACAAGATCAGCACCGAACTGCCACATGCAGCCAAGGTCTTCCAGCAGTTGCCGAGTTCGGGATGGTTGAAATCGACGCCGCTGTCAACAACACCGATCTTGACGCCCTTTCCAGTGAACCCGAGGTTCTGCACAACAGCATCAACACCAGTAGCATGGTGCAGGTACGGATATGTGATGTTTGTTGGCGATGCCTGATACTGCAGTTGCGAATACGGTTCGGCCATACACGCTTGACTCCTGGGATTGAGGCAATCTGGATCGGATCAAAGTCCTTGTTGGCATGCAAAGTAAAGCCATTGAATAGCTCTGTGAAGTGCTTTCCAATGGTGAATTTGGGGGCCGAGGGCGCAAAGTTGAGGTAAAGCTGGAAGCGACACTGTTGGTGATTGCCTGGATGTTGGTGTTGCCGGGAGTGCCATCGAGCTCGACAATATAGGAGCCTGCCTTAACATTTACGCCATCGGATACTGCATTACCTTCTGGATAGCAGCCTGGATATCTACGCCCGCGGCATGCGCGGACGGCTGGCTCAAACAGACAAATGTCAGCAAGAGAATGCTTGAGGTAAATTTCATGAGTGGAAAGTCGAAGTTGGGGAAAGGGACGAGCTATATCAAAACCGGGTGGATACTAGTGGGAGGGTTCAAGGTATAGGAGAGAAAAGGGCAAGCCGAAAGAGATAGAGGCTGGGTGTGCGCTAGGAGGTCGTGGGAGTAGAAGGAGGCGGTGGTACGAGGAGGCGGTGGTAGGAAGTTAGGTAAAAGAAGAAATGGTTGCAAACAATAGCTGCTTTATACCAGGACCACCCTCCACATGCAGTTCGCAATTGTGTGCTTGTGCCGCACAGCCTCATAGCTCAGACTGGCCGGCTAGTCGGGAATAGAGAACAATAAATCAAGTGTCGTCTTCGAATAGGATGTCTCAATGCCATCACCCATGTGAGCCGGGAATTTGAAGAGCCATGCCCCCTCAGCTACGCAAATTCTTCCGAGTGCAACTCCCAACACCTTTTTTGTTGCCCTTTCATACATGAACAAATTTCACAAACTCCCTAAAACCAGCAAATGATCCACATGTTACAGCCTCCGTCCAGAGCCATCATATAAACACTGTAGATCCCCTGCTTGTCTCTCATATCCCCCATTTTCTTCGTGGCATGTATGATCAGCGAACCCAAGGACCACTGCAAAGTCTACGACGAAACCTGGCCATCCACCTCCATGTGCTCAGATTTGCTAGGAGAAAAAGGCTCATTTAGCCTCAAGACTGCATCTAGCAAGGTAAGATTCTTGTAGACCAAGCCTGCTTCTCCTTCATCGCTGCGCTCCCAGACACGGAGTGCGCATAAGCAAATGGTCTACAAACTGCAGCAGCGGATGTTCCGGCACAACAGTTCGTGGGAAACCCGCTTGCTGAAACGTAGGTGGCCATGCCTATCCCCTGCAAAAGGAGCAGACCAGGACCATTTGAACCTGTCGCAAGCATGTGATATGCCAGCAGGCTTCTATCAAGATGGGGGTAGGACGGCAGGGAATCGTGGGGACACTGTGGATCCGACGATCCGTGATGTCCACCCAAGACCGCTACGGCATGGTCCCTCTCCACCACTAGCAGGCGCCCACCAGCCTCTCCCACTGCAACATTCTTGATCGATCTTCTATGCTTTGCCATCGTTTGGCACGCCTGAATGGCCTTCCTATGCACAGCAGGCACAGAGCCTGCTTGGTCCTGTAATCGATGATCAGCCACTCAGCCAATTAGTTGTCCTTGTCATTTTGCATGATAAAAATCAGTGGTGAGCCAGAAGCAGATACGTCACTGAGGTGCGAGAACGGGACGCTTTGCTTTATGTTGGTGCCTTTTTCTTGCATTCGCAATGGCTGCTGTTCACGATGACAATTCCACATCCACTGACAATAAACCAGCGCCGGACCATGCCAATTCAGGGCCAGGAGGCGACAGCATGGACAAGAAGCTACTATCTGCCACAGAAGCGCCAGCAGCCCTGCACATAGAGCAGAACCCTATGACTACCCCAAGAGGTACACGCATCAGCAAAGTCTGCACTCAAACGCCTACGCGTTTTACGCAGTGCACAGCCACTAGCGGAATTCACTTGAGTCAAGCCCGTACCTCGCTTATTTGCTAATCTTATTCTAGGTTACTGCGGAAAGCGCAGAGTGCAACAACAACGACAAGCGCACCACTATCAGCGAAGCGGACTGCCGGGTCATTAACCGATGATACGCTGAGCCTCGATTCTGCCAGCGACAGCGAGTTCCCGGACGCCCTCTCGCTGCTGAAAACGCCAGTCCGTAAGCAGGCAGCAGCAGAATGCCCATGCTTCAACCCCCCACTCTGCTGAGCTCAATAAGGCGAACAAGCACAAAAAAGGCCGCAAGCGCAAGCGTGTATCGTTAGGCAAGGCAAAGTCAGATGTACCGTGTATACAGAAACCTGCTGGTACTGATGACGATGCTCTCCAGTCACTGCAGATACCGGGTGAGCTTGTGATGGCGTACTACCTGCGTAAGTATTATCCAGCACGCATCACATCGCGAGTAGGCGAGCATCGGTTTAGAGTGGAGTTTTTTGATGGCTACAGTGGCACAGTGGACCGCAGGCGCATCTTTACACAGTATGAATCAGGATTCTATACGTGCGATCTAGGCGCGCTTCAGCTTATAGGGGACATACCTGCAGAGGCTGAGCCAAGTGGATGTAAAGCAGAGCTGGAGAGTGCAGACATTGACCAGGAGTTTGAGGATGACCTAAAGACTTTCGATACCTTGTCAGCGATCTGGAGAAGGTCAGGGGCTTCCTGGACGACTTGCATAGTTGCCCTATGGACAATGTTGCTGAGCTTTCTAAGACCGAGGACCGTCTGGGTATCTTCTTTGGAGGGGACAGAGTAAAAAAGAGACAGCTTATGTCGCGTGTACGCAGGGGGCATTTGAATGGCCTCGAATTTGACTTTATCGGCCGACTGCTGGGCAAATGGTTCAAAACACCTCCAAAGGCAGCACTCGGCGATCTGGCTGAGATGATGCCTACAAAAATACCAGAGTCAGCGAAGCAAGCACGCCGTCCCGCAACCACGGTGCAATCTGGCAACCTTGTAGTGGGATTTAACCATGAGGTGCTCTTGCCGCACGCAATCAAGCGGCTCATTCAGTTGCGTGATACATGCTCCCTGGAGGAAGCCGAGGATCGCATGGGTACTGAGGTCGGTGCATACGCATGGGCAGAACAGATCATGGCCATCCGCAGAATCGGTCAGCGCAGCGCTCTGTAACAGCATCCCTGTATATGGATGCAAACGCCCTGCATATCTAAATATAGTTTATTCAGCAGATGTGTTTCTATCTTACGAGTTTTGTGGAAGAGTAATGTCGAGAGCCGCTGAGTAGTGGATATCCGACCCACATACCAGGCTGCCTCAACCATTGCCCATGAACTGTTGAAGCATTTGGCTGACGCCTGGGATCTGGGTTGCAAGGCGTGTCAGAATGATGATCAGCATGACCGCTCGATCTGGAATATTTGCCCCTTCCTCGCGCGCTTCTCTGACATGCTCGACGATACATTCGACAAAGTCCACGAATGGCGTAACGGTGCTGTTCCCCATCAGGCCCGAGATGATGTTCGGGATTGACGGGAGTGTGTTGTTGGTCTGGCCGCCTTGGCCGCCTTGGCCACCTTGGCCACCTTGGCCGCCTAGGCCGGGGAACCCACCTCCGAAAGACATTTTGAAAAGACTGTGGATGCTGTTATGCAGAATGTAGGCAAGGTGCAGAATTTGGTATCAAAGACATGCAGGATCTGTGCACGGATGTAGGTATATGCGACATAGCTGCCTTATTTGTTATTACTGTGGATTCCGATGAGAGGGGCAACAGCTGGCAGTAGACAGCGCGCATGGGTGGCCAGCATAGACGTCATTTACAAAAGATGTTCTAAAGAAAAATGCACTAGATCTCCTGTGATCCCAAATCCGACGGCTGATCTCAGAATACGGTTGTTGATATTTGCGCTGGGCAGCTTGGAGTGCTTATGAATGATTCCTCGCTCTCTCCACTGCCAACACATTTTCTAAAAAACCACAACACTAATTTCCAGATGGGTTTCCCCGGCGCCAACACCACAGCCGACCATAGGAATTTGTTCCTGTCGGACGAGCAAATAGACGCGATCCAGGCCAAAGAGGCAAAGGAGCGCGACCCTGTTCGGCAGAAGCTCGGCAACCCTATCAAGGCACCAGGACGGATTCTCAGCTTTGCTATTGCCGATCAGACTGCTGTGCTTGCGTTGGCCAGTCACAAAGCAGCTGTAGCCAACTTGACGACCAAGGAATGCCAGAAACAACAGCAGGTCAAGCACACAGGCCCGGTGACTGCAGTGGCACTACTCAGCGAAAAATACACTGTCGACGGCTCGCGCATTGCGCTGTCGGCGTCGTGGGATAAGACCGTTAAAGTGTGGTGCGTGGACCAGCCAACCCGTGTCGTGGCAGTGCTTGCTGGCCATGCTGACTTTGTCAAATGCATGGCTGCACACCCAACACTGCCTATGGTGTACACCGGATCGGCAGACAAATCTGTTATGATATGGAAGCTACCTGAGACCCTGTTCACCGATGCGGCTGCTGAGAGTCCGGTCGAGATCAGTCCGCTTAAGACGATCAAGGGCGACCACACTGGCCAGATCTATGCAATTTCCCTCGATAGCACAGGATCTGTCTTGTATTCGACGGGCTCAGACGCATCGATCCGCGCCTGGGATGCCAGCACAGGCCAGGCAGCCAAAGTTGACAACGAGATCTGGGAGATCGAGCGTGGTCATCACAAAACCAACGTTTTTGACATCAAGGTTTCCGAAACATGCTGTGGACGGCATCGGCGGACAAGACTGCGGTCGGGTGGGATATGGACACACGGAAGCCCGATATAACCATGCAGCACAAGGCATTTGTCACATCGGTGTTGCCAGTTATGCAGGCCGGTGTGGTTATCACTGGCACGCGTGGCGGCGACATTTCCGTGTGGCGTGTGAGCGCCGGAGCACCGGAGCTCATTCGTGAGATCCACGCACACAGCGACGATGTCGTGTGCTTGCGGCAGCAGGGCCGTCTGTTCTACTCGTCAAGTCTGGACGAGACCTTGCGGGTGTGGGATATCAAGGAAGTGATTGATTTCAAGGGCGGCATGAGCTATGTGCCGCCTGAGCTAGCCGCGCTAAGGCAGCAGCCAAACAAGGCGGCAGAGACAATGCTCACGGAGGATGAGGAGCGCGAGCTTGCCGAGCTCATGGACGACCTAGATGAGTTGTAGCCCCTCCACAAGCAAAAGCTTAAATAAACCATACACGGAATACGCTACCTGGCAGCATTGGCGTATTGCCGTCGCTGGTAACCGACTACCAACGTGGGCGTGAGTTATATTGAACCAGTGGATTTCAGAACTTGAACTCTTTATTGCGGCGCTTTGAAGCACTGCCGCCATCATCAGCCGTCTTGCGTTTGCGCGTCTGAGTTTTGGCATGGCCAGACGCTGCATCTGGCAGATCCTCATGTCTGCTGTTGCCACTGGCGCCTCGGCCAGCAGTGCTACTACCAGCAGCCTCATACTTGGCCAGCAGCTTCTGCTGATCGAGGGTATCGAGTTCCTCTGCGTCCAGGCTGACATCGACACCTCGGTCCATGGGCTTCGCAGCACGTCCACTGCCAGACTTGGCTGCCTTCTTCGATGGGTCAAAGGCTGCCCCTACATCATACGTGTACTGCGAGCCCATCAGTCCGCCCATCTGCTGCGCCGCCTGTTCGTTCAGCACCGTGTAGAGATCGCGATCAGCATCGCTAGTTGAAGTTGGTGCAGGTCTGCGAGTGTGCACAACGCTGGGCGTCTCGAGACCAGACGGCAAAGTGCTGGCGACTGGCTCCGGTTTAGCAGCCTCTTCTGGCACCTCTTCGTCTTGGCCCGCGGCGTCGCTGGCTGCCTCCTCATCCTCCTCATCCTCCTCGCTCTCGCTGTCTTCTTCATCTGACGACCCAGCCTCCAGATCGCCCCAATGCTTCTTGGGGCCAGTTTTCATCGGCACCGGAACAGCGGGCTCCCCCGTAGCAGCGGCAAACACGTCACCGTATAGCGGCCGGCCAAACTCGTCTACAGGCGGCCTGCCCCAGCCGCCTGGGTGGTAGCCCCACTGGGCACCCTGTGGAATTGGCGCATTGAGACCAGGGATTACCAGGTTCGGGTAGGACGGCGGCGGACCAAACCTCTGCATATTGATCAGCCATGGCGGTGGTGCCAGCGGCGGCACATTAAGTGCCTGCCTCAGCCCATCTGACAGCGTCCCAGGCGTAAAACTATACGAGGTGTCTGACTCCTTCCCTTCGTAAAACAAGTCGCCATGCCCAGTCATGTTCTTGGGTGGCGTCTGGAACCTGAAAAAAGCGTCGTGGAGACGCTGGTAATCCAGTGTCAGCTTGTGCATTTTCGGCTGAATCCGCTCGCGCGCCCTGGCGCCCGCCGTTTTCTCGTCCTCCTTTTCCTTGGCGGCATCGCGCATCTCCATGATCCCTGTGGCCTTGATGAAGTCTGGCAGCTCGAACGGCGGCTTCTCCATGCCGCGCTTGTACTGCAGATACTTTTTCTTCTGCGCCCAGTGCACGGGCACGGGAACCGTGTTGCGCAGCGCCTTTAATGCCACCAGCAGATGCGGGTCGCGCGCACTGATGTCTGTCCATTCAACAACCTCAGGCCGCGCCGCCGCCTGCTTGAGCTCGGCCACCGACATGCGATTGCGCTTGCGCTGTCGCCGCGACTCCTTTCGATCTGCAGCGTCTTCTTCGGCCTCGCTCTCACTGGTTTCGTCGCCAGCTATGGTCTCTTCGATGCTGTCGTGCTTTTGTACCGACACTGCCTTCTCGCTGGGCGTCTCTTCTTCCTCGTCTATTTGAGCACCAAAGGATTTTGCGGCATTGGCGTTGAAATGCTCGAATACCTCCGCAAAGGCAGCCAGCTCGGGCTTGTCGAGCGTAGGCTCGTCAGTGGCAATATACTCGATTTGGACATTGCTCGGCACCTTCTGTTCTGTCGCTGTGTACAGTGCGGCCAGGCGCTGGCTGCGCGCCTCGGCCTCAGCAATCTTTTCCCTGCGCGACTTCTTCTTCCGCCGCTTGTTGTTGCTGGTCTGTGCTGGTCGGTTGTTGGTCTTGGCGTCTACAGACGACATGCTGCTGGGTAGTGTGGGTGTATAGAATCAAGCAATGAATTAAAGCTGGCAAACTGGTGGCAAAGTCGAGACAACGTAATCTCACGCTACTACTTGATTTGAAAATCATCCATTTTATGGGCACTTGAACTGGCGGCCAGAACTTTTCCCGGCCAGCGGCTCCTGCGACAAGCCCGTCGGACAGCTCATCTGTAGGCTGCCGCTTGGTGAACACCACAGGCTCTCCTCATTGTCCCAGATGCCTGGAGCATCCGTCCCACCTCAGCCGACCAAGAAGCCATTTTTTCGTCGCTTTGGCAGATTGTTTTTGTTTTGCTGCTGTTGCTGCTCATTGCACATGCTGTCGGCATCCGCTCTGCCCGTGCATATGCCAAGAAGCAAGTCCTCAGAGCGAATACTCGAAGCCCTAGAAGCGTGCTTCAGCATAGTTCCTAAAATCGGCCTTCAATGTACATGTAGCCATCCGCGAGGCTGTTTGCATTCCCGCTCAACACCAATGAGCGGATGCGCAGGCAGATCTTGCTCGCAATCGCCATATTGCTTTCTGCTGTTTCTCAGCAAGAAAGGTAGGGATGCAGTATCAAACCTGGGTAGCACAATAATCGGAATGTGCGAATGCGTGTGAATAGAGCGAGGCAGCAACATTGCGAATCCTCGGTGCCACCGGATAGTCCGAGTGATCCCGGAGGGGCGATTCCAAAACAAAGTCTAAAAAAGAACAACTATCCCAGGCTGCGAAAGAAACGGAGCGAGCCGGTTTACAGCTTGTGGTCAAAGGCGACAACGTTGCGGTCGATGTCCAGATGCATCCTCAAGGTATTTGGCGCACCAAGCAGCCCGGACGACACGAACCCGTGCCTATCGAGCTTGTCTAGCGCCATCTCGTATCCGGGCATGAACCTCGAGATAAAGTCCTCCAGCTGCGTGTCCGAAAGCGAACTCCTGCCGGAGGCCGCCAGCTCGTCCTCCTGCTGCTTGCGCCACCGATATACAACATCGACATTGGACACGCGCATATACACCCATGCATCAATCAGCGTATACAAAGACGTCTCGTAGGCCTCCAGATTCCCGTTAATCTCAGCCAGGTTGGCGTCGGTGAAGCTGCGCGAGTGCTTGAACAGCGGACTGTCCGAGTCGCGCACATTGCCAAGGAACCTTGCAAACTCCATCCTGTCCAGCATGCGGAACCCCAGATTCCACCCCTCGAACAGCACGACATCGACGGGCTTCGCCACTGCCCACTGCCTCCGATCCACCTGGTCGCCGTACCCGCCATTCAGGCTCTTGTCATACTGCGGAATCGGCGTATCTTGCCCGCGCAGAAGCCCCTCGAGCGTCTGATGCCCCAGCATGTGGTCATGCGTGCCTGCCTGGCCGCGGAACCTAAGCAGCGGGTTGTCGCGGTGCTGCAAGGCCAGCTGCTCCTGCTGCTTGTATGGCAGGTAGAGGTCGTCGAGCGAGAATCCGACTGTCGTGATTTTGCGCGCTTGCAGGTAGGCCACCAGCCCGCGC